GTGCTGCTGTCTATTTCATAGCAGATACAAGAATGAACAAAAACCAATGCGTAGCAGCAACAAACTCTATGTTGTAACTGGATTCCACTGCTGTGTTCTGGGGAGCACTGGCATCACTGCTTCACCTGGCCATGGCAGGTGATCCTGTGGTTCTTGGATTATCTCTACACCTGAGTCTGAGTCTCACATTCTAGTAAAAAACAAGATCATCACAGCACAGGAGGTCAAAACTGCAATTTCAGAAATAAATGCAGAGGACTTGATTGCTTTGTAGATGAGGAAAATTAGGGTAAATACCTTTTTATTGACTTCTTTTCTGTGAAGAATGACATAATCATATTTCGTATTATCCCCTTTTTAGCTCTATTGGTGAATTTTGCAGCAATAATCCACAGCAGTGTTTCCTCAAACAGTATCTGTTTTTTCTACTGAAAAATGCACCACTTTTTCAGTCACTTTTATTCAGAGTACCTTAGTTTTGACTTGCATAGTATCGGTTTGCTCTGAAATGAGTACATCTGATGATCTAGTAATTTTTAGTCTCAGTTGCAGAAAGGGAGTGAAGCAGCTCAGTTGTTCTCAGCTTTATTAATGTCGTTGTTCTGGTTGTGCAAATTTGTAGCTCTCATAGGGTCACACTTGGACACAACACATACAGCTGCTTAGATTTGCACAAAGGCAGTGGCACGGATTTGGAGTATCCTGATTTTTAGTTAATCCTCTTCAGTTTTTAGCCTCTGTATATAAGTACTGTAGACTCAACTACTCCCAGATTTGGACAGTGTATGGGAGTGGCTTCAGAGACCTGCAGGAATATTATGTCTGAAATGTAAGCTGAACGTGACTTGTATTTCTGTAAAAATGTTATTTTAGCCAGAAATGTATTATTTTCTCCTGGAATGGCAGTACAAGATTAAGTGGTTTGGAAGCTTTACATATTTTTTTCTAATTTGGAGTGTTTCTGCTTTTCTTTTCCCTACATTGTTTATCTTTTCTTTCCCCAGTTGTCATTATATACGACATGCAAAGAAATCTTATTTCTGTTATCCTAAATTTCAAATAGTACCAAAGTCATCAAGATTTTAATTGGAGGTTGATTTTCCTTACAGGATTTGCTTTGTTGCTTTTAAAAGCACACAATCCACTCTCACAGGAAGAACTCAGAGGTGGATATGTAATTTGCTTAATGAAATGAAGATACAAATAGTGTGTGTAAACATGAAAAATAGTGCTCTGTGGAAATCCTCCGAGATCCCAGTGCTTTTCAGAGTATGTTTGCAATTCTTTCTTGGCTCCTCTTTGTTACCTAGAATGTCTTTTAAAAACAAGTGCAAGTATAGGAAACTACATTTAGATGGCTGATCTGTGTGAAGTGGGTGGTTTAGGGTGTGAGTGTTTAGTTAACACCTCAGTACAGCATACAGGTGCCTCGCTGATATCGGAATTAAGACAAGAAGGATGATGACTTTGGTCGTCATCTCTGCAGAATCTCCCTTGTTTCTGTCTTCCTTTTCAATCAGAAGAACGGCGAGACCAACATCCTGGGTTTCTCACCATTGGCAGTCCGTGCCATTCTGAAATGGAACCTGTTGTTCAGGGGATGGAATAGCTGAGTATCATTAAGGCTGCTTGAAGCTGAAGTTGAACATAGCTGTAAAACCTTACCCCAGAGTAACGCAGAAAACAATAGGGAAGTTTTTACATGAGCAAAATGAAGTATGTAGCTTCTTAGCTTTGCTGGGAAAACATAAATGTGGTTTAGGTGGGACAAAACTTATATTAATGTCTGTGATCAGGTATGTGAGGCGCTGAGCATTTAAAGCTTTTGTCACACCCAGTCTTTTTTAATAGTCAAGTTTGAAAAAGCAATATAGAGCAGACACCACTGGGTTTTAGACTGATGTGATTGAGCTTATTTGTAAGGCTGAAGCCGTACGCTGCTGAAAAATACCTTCTGGTCTCATCTGTAATAGTTACACTGGCACTGATCAGTAATGTCATTAGGTAATGTTAATAGTAATTCTGATCATCTCTTTAAAGAGTTTGATTCAGAGTTACAGCATCCTTACAGGACGTGTAGTGTAGAAAGCTTCTGAAGTGAGAAACAGAATCATATTCTCTTGATGGTCTGTGATTTTGAAAATCCCATGCATGCTTATTCCTTGAAATTAACCGTTGCCATCGAGTTAAGTACGAACAACAACAAAAAGTGGATATCCTACTGTGTGTGTGCACATTTTCCAATTAGAATGCCTAGATTTTATCCCATTCTTAATCTTTGTTGTGGACATCTTAAATAATGTGATACTTCATTCTTTGAAAGTTTTTACCAGCAGGATTTACCAGCAGGACGTCCTGAAAACACTGCAAACAAGAAGGATTACAAGTTGTTAGGAAACTACAGCCTTTTAAGTCGTCTTGGGATGACTAGTGGATTTCATAAATACATTGTGTGCTGTTATCCTCCTTATGTTCTTTAATGACCATCTGTTTTTAATAAATCTGTTTAGTTGGGTTAATTATTAACTAGGTAATAAACCTAGTCTGATCCTAAGAAATACATGCTGACTGAAAGTCTACCTGTAAGGATTAAGGATATGTTTTTATGTAATTTGTTTTATTGGCTTTGCCAGGTGCAAGAAAAATGTATTTTTGAAGGATACAGAAGATTTGCCTTCCACTTATTTCTGGAGTAATAGATTTTTTCTTTTGGTGTGAAGAATTCATTCAAGTTTCTTAAAAGCACGTGGTTAAGCTGATGCTCAAATGCAGTAAAAGACTTTGTATTCAGATAATGATTGATGTATAGTAGCTAGGTATATAAAAAGATTCTCTGTCACGATGTGATATCAGTTCTCTTTCTCAGGGATGTTATGAGTTTTGATTACTGCTGAATGCAGTTTATGTGCCTGAAGTCCTGAATGGATATTTCAAGCTGTTTGTACTTGATGAGTGCAGATGATGTCCAAGCAGCCATCTGATGCCTGTTTCTTTGACTTGGCTGTCAGAAAGAAGGGCCGTTCATCCTTTCTCAATCCCTCTTACCTGGCAGAGTCAGTCATGACACCAGCTGTTTTAATATTCCCTTAGAAATACTCTCTTCAGTGTTCAGTTACTAGTACTCTTATGTCTGCTACAAATACATCTGAAGGATGTGGGTCTTTGTACAAATCCAGTCCCATAGTGTATCTTACACATGTTATCCAAGTATCTTTGCTGTGCCATCCACTTCAATCAGCATCTGATTTTTTTTGCCTTCCATTATCTATTGATGAAAATGTTTGGTGCTGTTTGTCACTGTTACCAAATGAGATAAGTACGTATGCCATACTCTTTGGATGTCTTGTAGGGGAAATTATCTTCAGGTTTCATTCTAAATTCATATCTAATGTACAATTAGTTTCACCTGAATAATAGAATCATCTTTCTCACTTGAGGCTACAGATTTCCAGGACAGAGACCTCCTTGCTCAGCCTATGTGATAGCTCTCTTTCTGTATTTTATGGTGACTGAACGAGAGCCTTGAAAACGGACTTGGCTTCAGGTCTGTAATGGGATCTTATAAGGGGCAGATTCAGTGCAGGTGCTGTCTCACTGTGTTGCTGCTTTGGAGAGGCCGATACAAGGCTCCAAATCTGGAGATAGCCATTAGCCATAGTCAGGGGCATAGAACAGCACCAGCTGCTGATGAGGCAGATGTCAGAGCTGCACCCTGGGGTTCCAGTCCTCTCTTCAACAAGTGCTGGTGAGTTCTGTTGGAAAGATGCTGCGTGTGAAATAGGTTGAGTGCAAGATCTTCTTGTCTAAGCTGTGTGGCCTTCAGGAATACTCCCTAGGGTTATTCTTGGCGTGGGTATATACATGAAGGAGGAAAAAAGGTTATTTACCTGTCTGCTTTTCTGTGTGTTGTACTGTGTCTCTGTACATATGTGGCAACCTTCTCTGCCTGCTTCTGTGTAGCTAGTAATTCAGTGGTTACACCGTAGGTACTGTGGTGCTGAGCTTGTTGCTAGGACTTTACTCTTTCCATATCTGCTTAGTAGATACATGTAAGGTAAAGCGAAAGGAATGAAATATAAATTGAGTAATTGGGAAAGTGAGAAGGAAATTCATCCATTCTAAGTTAGTTGAAGGAGGTTGCTAGCTGTCAATGAAATGCAAGGATTTCTAGAAGTTGCTGTTGATCACGAGGTGGTACAGTGCAGGACAGATAGAGCAGTGCACCTTACCTTGGTAGTTTTGTACTCATTAGACTTTTTTCTGTGTAAGTGAAAATAATTCATTTACTCGAAATCTGATTGGTATTAACTTTTGATTGCCTACCACCAAATACTTCATGAATGCAGAGATGCTGAATTGCATGGAGATTTTCTTGGATGGCTTTTTGTGTTCTTTTACTATGATGTGCTTACGATAAAATCATCAGCCAAGATTGTTACTTACACCTGCATCATTACACAGGCTCAGTTGTGAGTTCCAATTCCAGCAGAATTTTATTTGCCACTTACAGCTTTATCTCAGAACATCCAATCTGCAGAGCTGCATCTTTGCCAGCTGCTTCTCTGAAATACTTTTTTGGGGGTGTTGATGGGAGGACTTTTGTTAGTATGAAATATGAGCATCTATGTTCTTATAACAAATGTAAGTTCACTGCTTTTGTTTGGTTACAAATAATGATTAATATTGATGGTTGATCTCTTCCTAGAGCAATGTTGTATTAATGTGACTGTCTAGACATTAATTCATAAGAATATAATTTCATAAGAACAAGCTAATCTCATAATACACAGTGGTTCACTACAGGCACCAGGCTTCCAGATATGCCTGTATTCATCTTTAACAATATATATCAGGATAAAATCAGGGCAACAGTGATTTAATAATTCATAAAAATTGAGCAGAGGGGAAAAAACGTGCTTTTAAAGTTAACGTAATTAGTAGTGCATCGCATGAACTTCTGCAATGTTTCTGAAAACTATGTATCTATTCTTTTCCTTTAGGATTCGGAGTTCCCTGTTGATGTTCAAGTGAACTCATACCTTGCTCGTGCCAAAGAGTACAGTCGACCCCTGAAACATGGAACGTATAAACTGGAAAGCACTTTAAAACTGCATGTCTCAGCAGTGAGCTGGTAGGAGCCATTAACAGTACATTTATTTTATACTTAAATACATTGAGACTTACTTTTTTAGCAGATGATTCAGAAGCTTGAATTGTACGTAAATTTTGAGAAACCAACTGTCCCAGTCAGGGGGAGATTTCTCTGAGAAGATGAAAGTGGAGAAAATGTTCATGAAATTTAGTGGGAGCATAAATACAGGGAAACATACAAGCAGAACTGTGTACAGATTGGGATTCGTCTCCTTTGTAAGAAGGGTGGCATTCTGCTACCAGATATAAAAGTGGGAAACGTAGATGTCTATACAGTCCAGTTCCAGAATGCTGAGCTAAAATGCTGAATATTTTTGCTTTTTGTATTTGGTTACAGGTTGTTCCCTTGGGTCAAGAATCAGAAGAGTTGAAATTTAAATTAGAGTGTGCAATAGCCTGTAAGCAATGACATTTCAGAGCTTGCTAGCTACAGGCAGAGGAAAAAAAAAAAAAAAAAAGCACTAGTGTGATGATTCCAAGTAATCTAGTTAATGATATTAAAAAAAAGATTGAAATCATCATTATTTTTATCATTAAAGTAATTTCATGTTGCATGGTACTTCTCTTACTGCACTCCAGCTGTTAATAGGTTACTTCTGAGGGTGCCCCTGTTTAAAAACAGAAACAAAAAAAAACCCAAACCCCCAATACAGCAATATTCATGGAGTTAATTTTTGTTGCTTAATTTCCTGTTGTATGTAAGAAACATAGTCTGCTTCAGCTATGCTTTAAAAGCTTAAAAGTGCGAGCAATTCTCATGCAGGGTAAAAGCTTGGGGTTGACTGACTTGTGCGGATGTCAGTGTTGTGAAGCAATAAGATTATTTCATTATTTAAGCAGTACAGAATAGCAGAGCCAAGTAAAGCAATGACACAAATTGCAGAAAATGCTTTTTGGGATAGGTGAGTGTCAGGTAAATTTGTCTGTGAAGTGAGAAACCATCTTTATATGTTTAATAACTGTAGTGTGAAGTTCACAGACTTTTAGTTGGCTGCCAATATTTCGTACTGTTTTATTTTAGTTTGACAGGGTTCTTCCTTAGTCTCTCAAGTACTTGATTCTGGCTTTCCAGCTGGCTAATTCCTAACCTCAAATGGTTAAGATAATATTTGGAATAACTTTCTCCTGTATTGTATAGTCATATGGGGCCAATTGGGAAAGAAATCAGCTTTGCTACTTGGAAGAGACTGTATCAAATCTGCCTGAAATGTTATTGAGTTAGTGGGCTTATCAAAAAGCAGTTAGTGCAACAATGGTGTATTGGGGGGGGGCGGGGGCAGACTGACAGAGAAGGAAAGCACTTTGATCCTTGCAGGATTTTCAGTGAGTCAGGTAGAATGAAGATCAAAACATAATTGTTCCAGTTGTTTTATCCCAGGACTTATGCGAGAGGCGACAGTGTAATGGTTTCCATGTTAATGTTTGTCAGAAGTTTCCTTTTACCTGCAGTAGGAAGTGAGATTTGCTATAAGCTTCTTTTAAACTATATTGCAAATTACTTGTATTAAAATACGTAGTGTGTGATTTTGAGTAGGGGTTGCTCAGAAGCTCGTCAAGGAAGGACTCCTCTGCCTAAATTTTGCAGTTACTGTGTACTTGAACAGAAACAGATCAAGTGTCATGCGTGTTCATGTAAGAATACTCTTTGCATCTCTTATCTGTTTTGAATGATCTTTTAGCTGATGCTGGAAGAATTATTCTAGATGTTTATATCCAGTGTTTCTAGTTATTGCTAGAAGAGATGGTTGTATGTACTGGAAATTCTGAGTACTTTCCACAGTTAGTAAATGGATGTCATACCTTGAGGATACAATACCACTAATTTACTAGTTCAAATAATTCGGATGTCTTTAGACTTGTTTGGAAACTCTTTAATAGCTTGCTTCAAAAAACAGCAACTAAATTAGAAAGGGGAAAAAACACACAAAAAAACACAAAAAACCAGCAAAACACTTTAGGAGCGTTTATTTAATTTAATATACTGACAATATGATATTGACTTTGGTCAGAAGGTTGTGCTTTAAGTGAGGGCTCGAATAGAGCTCTAAAATGATTTGAATTGCTTGTTTGGAAACATAAAAATGTAAAAGCAGGAAAAGCAAAAAAGAACGTTAAAATGTTCTTGCAAAAATGTAAGCACTATAAACATAGGCTGTAACTGAACCTCTCATTTGCTTAGAAATCTCTTTATGAACGTAGTGGATTGCAGTTTCTACATGTTTAACTATGAGAAAACAACATTCAAGACTCCAAGGCGTTAATTAAAAAGCTTTTCTAGTCTGTATATCGTTACTTTAAATCAATCTTTATAAGTGACTGGGCAGACTTTTGTCTAGCTAATGCTGAACATTGTATGGTCGCTTTGTTTTGTATCAGTGGGTCATTTTTTGGCACTGTCTCCTCTGGAGTATTTTTAACACCCTTCCCTGTTTAAGGAGTGAAACACTGAGTGTTCCTGTGCATGTCTAGAAAACAGACCTTGATGTTGAAGGAAAGGATGCTTTCAGTACTCCACTGGCAGCAAATGGTGAAGGATTTGAATGGGGGAGACGAGTTGCAAATGCTTAAGTTTTGGGAAAAATTTCAAATGGAGCTCATACCTTATTAGATGCTGTGGAATGGTGAGGCATACAGCTAATGCACACGGAGCTCCAGTGATTGTTTTTAGTTTAGTGGAGCAGCTATTTGGTCCTGGTGCTGACTTTACTCAGAAGTCCCAGAGGTTATTAAATGTGTAAATCGTGGGGTTTTTTTTCTGTGGGGAAAATGGCTTGGATCAAATTCTCTGTCTGGGGAATGAAATGCAAATGGCGTGTTTGAAGAAAAAAATAGTCAACTTCCACTGAACTTAAAGTAGTGATGGCTGTCTGTTTACAGACAGGAGATAGAGAAACCAATAGCTACTGAATGAAAACTGTTTCTTGTAGTTGACAGGATAAATAGAAAACATCCTGTTGACTTAGGAGGAGACCAGATTTGCTTTTTGGATTTAGGTTTTTCTTAACAGCAATGTCTCAGCAGCAATGCCTAATAAAGATAGAACAGAATCTGTTTTGTATATGTATTGGTAGAATCTCTTTATGTAGACGTTGCTATAGAAGATGCAGCTCCAGCAAATCCAAATTCAGACTTTGTGCATGCCTTAAAGCTGGTGCTGTGAGACCTTCACTTTAGTACCTTCCCTTGGGTAGGGAAAAAAATCCCTTGGGAAGCCATGGGGGCTTTTTGCCAAACTGAATGTTTCCCGCTTCTCTAATCTTCACACAGACACTCTTCTGCATTAAGCTCCCATTTCTCTGCTGTCCTTGTGAGTATCCTAGTAAATCTTACTATGCCTGCAGGAAGGGCTGTAAGATCTATAATGCATGAATGATCTTCTACATCTTGCTTACTTACTGTCCATTTTCTCCTTACTTGCTGTCTGCCTCCCAAGGGGTTTGGATGTTTTACCAAGATACTTCTGTGTCGCTCTGTGTGTACGTCTGTCACAGTTTACTTTGTCTTCACTTGGGAAAACAGAGATGCCTACTCAAACATTATTCAGTACGTTTTTAGTGATTAGTGCGGTGTCAGAAAACAGGAAAATAGTATGTATTCTGTTGGACAGATGCTTATCTGAAGTGCAGCTGAAAAAGCAGCAGTAATGGCATGAGTTGGAGATCAGTGCAATACTGTATTTTGCGTGTCATGTAATATATTTTGTAGTTAGAAAAAACTCCTGTTTCTCTTGTGTTTTTTTTGTTCAAATCTTATATCAGAAAATGAATGTTGTGAAAATATTGGGTATTTGGTGTTTACTTTTGACCTTTTTTAGTACCTTTAACTCGAGCAGAATGACAAGTGAAGGCTCCATTGCCTTCTCTTGCTCTTTTCTTAAGTTTTTAAGACGCCTTCTCCTTTTCAATCTCCTTCCTGCCCATGCATCGCATACATAGGTTGCAGTTCTCACTCAAAGCTTATTTGATGTGGCAATTGTTCTAAAAATGCCTTTTGATTGTAGGTAGAACTCATAAAGCATATGACCTAATGACTTCAAGTATGCCTATACAAATAGAAAATGTATATTCTTGTTTACAAGTAACTTAATGTTCCCACGTCTTTTATTCCTGTTCAGTATATTGTAAAAGAAAAAGATAGAACATCAAAACCATTCTGCCTGGGCACAGTAAAATACAAAGCTGGAGATAAGTACGAAGGAAAGCAAATACGAAATGTTTGGTGATTATCTAGGCTTTCCTGATGGGACCCAGTGAAAGATAAGTTTTCTATAGGGACTAATTCATCATTATATCTCATTATGCTAGTTTTCCCCATTTTTTTTATCAGCAGATTCCAGATGAGATTGTTAAAACTTATCTCCTTGGGAACCATGCAAATTGACTTGCAGCGTAAAATGTGTAGGTGATTTTATGAGGCTTATTCAAAAATTGAAATTGAAGTTAGTCTTGTGGTGCCTTGTGCATACTTACAGAGGTGAGACTGATTTTGCTGAAAGGATGCTTGGTGTTAACATGAGGAATTTCCTTTTGAATTCATCTGAAGTTTGCTGTAGAATACAATGGTGCAGATTGGTGTTTTTCCTTTAGAGTTTCAATCTGCAGAGAGTATTCTGCAGTCATTTACAGTACCGTGCCACTCGTTTTAGTTCATGTCCTGCTTTGCGTCTCTTTTGGGCACACGGCTTTTCAATTTCATTTCCAGACTGCTGTTCTTACAAAAGATGGAAGAAGCAGGCTGTTAACACCTGTTGGGTATGAACGAGGTAATGGAAGTAGTGTAGTAGCTTGTAAGCAAACATCTTGGTAGTTTTTCCTCTACTACCCGTCCCAATTGGAGAGAGTTCCATATTAACACATCGAGATGTCTGTCTTCTCACTCCTTGATTTTCTTCTTTGTGATGCCTTATGTTCCTGACACTGGGTAGCTTGATGCTTTGCTGAGACTGCTGCCTGTCAGACTGATGAATGTTGTCTCCCTTTT